TTTCGCCGCCCATCGCAGTCGCAAGCCAATCGCATGTACAACCCTTTGTAGGTTAATCCTAGGATAATAGATTGGTATAATATTTATTATATGTATTTTTTATTTTATCATTTTAATATAATTTAAAATTATGAAATACATATATGATGGTCAATTTTGTTTGTTTACACTATCTACTTGCAGTGACATACATGTATAGAGTTGTTACAAGCTGCACTTGATGGTAAAGTACTAATCGGGGAATCCAGACATTACGTACAGATGGCTCATGATCTGCTACTGAATAACACTTATGTGGGGAGAGGTGTCGAGGAGGGTGATGAAAGTAAAAGAGAAGAAGATGACAATGGAGAAGAGGATGACGATAGAGAAGATGATGATGATAGAGGAGATGATGGAGAAGAAGATGATGATGATGGAGGAGATGATGGTGATAGTAAGTATGAAGATGAGAGAAGAACAAAGCAAAAAGCTAATCAATTTCAAGCGCCGACGTTGCAATAGGAATCGAGGTGGAATTTGCGGCGGAGGAATTGATTTTTTTTTATTTTAGTCTTGGATATGTATATTTGAAACAAATGTTAGGTAAAAAATATGGTCTATATTGATCGTCATTCATTTGTATTTTTAAAGTAGATATTAGGCAAATGATATGGTTGGTCATATTTTGATGTTGAGTTTGATACGTATTTTTGGACTTAATATGAATGTTCGAAACAGATGTTCAATGAAGGGTATGTTACATAAATGAGAGATCTCTCTTTAACTGTAGTTGAAGGGTATGTTCAATGAAGAGATCTCTCTTTACATAAATGAGAGATCTCTCTTTACATACTCTGCAATGAAGGGTATGTTACATCAATGAAGGATATATTACGTAGATGTTTGAAACAAATGTATTTTTGGATTTTATGATTGATATTATATCAATATGTTTGAAACAAATCGGTGGCTTTGGTGATAAATTATGAAGCCATCAATGCGAAGTGTAACTGCTTTAAGGCTAACATATAAAAACCACCAATTCAGTTCTAACATACAACACTACCAAAGGCTAACATATAACATCACTAAATAGAAACACCTAATTCAGTTCTAACGTACAACACAACAAATGGCAAAAAACAAAAAACAAAAAAAAACCATTGCGTGACAACACTTCGCTCTAGCACTACAACACCACGATCCGGCACTGCACATGTCACTCCGGCAGTACAATTCTTCGCTCCGGTAGTAAAGCTTCTGGACAGGCGCTCTGGTAGTGTAATAATCCGCTCCGGTAGACAATATGCATGTTCCGACAATAACCTTTTCTCGCTCTGATACTAGAGCTTCTGGAGCCACAGTCGCTCCGGCAATAAACAAGTATGATCCAGCAGTATAAACGCACGCTCCGGCAATAACCTTTTCTCACTCCAATAGTTGAACTTCTGGAGCCACAGTCGCTCCGACAGTAAACAAGTACAATCTGGCAGTATAAACGCACGCTCCGACAATAACCTTTTCTCGCTTCGGTAGTAGAGCTTCTGGAACCGCAGTCGCTCCGACAGTAAACAATTACGATTCGGTTCCGGTGGTATGTTTTCCACGCTCCGGTAGTTAGGCTTCTGGAGCCACAGCGCTCTGGCAGTGGGTATACATCGATCTGGCAGTTTGTACCAGCGCTCTGGCAGTTGGTATGCACGCTCCGGCAGTAAGGCTTCTGGAGCCACAGCGCTCCGGCAGTGGGTATACATCGCTCCGACAGTTTGTACCAGCGCTCTGCCAGTTGGTATGCACACTCTGGCAGTAAGGCTTCTGGAACCACAGCGCTTTCGTATTCATTATATAGCGGTCCGGCATTAAGGCAAGGCACGTCGGCACTACAGTAATAGGCTTTGGCAGTTAAGCTTCTAGAGCCATATCACTCCGACACTGAGTTCATTCGCTCCAGGAGTGAGTTCATTTGCCCCGGTAGTAGTGTCTGCAATATGGAGTTATTTACATCCGCTCCGGCAGTACTGTATTGCTTCATACTACTCCGACGGTTTTTCAATTCGATCCGGCACTATGTGATCTTGCTCTGGTAGTATGGTAAATTTCGCTCTGACAGTTACTTTTCTGGAGCTACAGCACCCAACGATATTGATCTTCACTCTGGCAATTAGGTCTCTAGACCGCCAATTGAACGTTCACTGTACGGTAACGGCATTTCTGTCTAAAAATTTATAACTTTTTATTGGGGGGATTTTTTACGAAGAAAGCTTGTTAAGGGAAAAAAAACGTGAGAGAAAATTTGGATGGGGGTAAATTGAGTGAATAGTGCATTCGGAGAGGGTTTTTGTAATTTTCCATACAATCATCTACACGTAACATACAAAAACTATGCTAGATGTGCATCCTCATCTAGTGCAACTCATATGCAGCATTCTCTTCTATGCAACATGTATCAAAGTATACCATCCAATGTACAACACGCATATTTTACGTGCTACATGTATCGAAGTATAGATGTATAAAAGATATCAATGTATAGTATCAAATATATTTTGTACATGTAAATTGTACGCTTATATCCTTCATCATTACAAGGCATAGCATGGCAATTTGGTCATTCTCTCTCTAAGAAAGTTGGGTTTGGTCAATGTGAAGGCATTGTTTTCACCACCTTTGAACCCCAATTTTTCACACGTGGGACACACCCTTCGGGATGGAATTGGCACGTGTGTCGACTTGACCTCCTTCATCTCCTCCAGCTCTTTGAGAAGCCTTTGATTTTCCTCTCTCAGAGTATCACATTTTTGCTTCAATAGGTCTCTCTCAGCCTCTGCTTGCTTTGATTTACTCCTTCATAATCAAATAATGGAAAATCGGTACAAAAGTCTTTTGGAAAAAAAAGGACAAAGTGAGTTAAAAGAATCAAATATAAATAATTTAAAAAATAGAAAAAAAAAAAGAAAAGCCAAGGGTGACAATGGGCGCCCTAAATTAGGGCCTAGGCCACAAAATGTGGCCCGAGGGCAGGCCATCACTATATGACGGCAGGGCACAGTCAAGCTGGGGCCATGGAAAGGCCCGACCGGTTCACGTGGCCCACCCCTTTTCATGCCAGGACCTCTTTGACCTGGTCTGGGTCGGGCCGAGCCAGGACCCTATGGGCTAGGATCAGGGCCACCTTGGCCGTTCCAGGCTGGGACCGGCCCCAGGCCTATCCAATAGGTTAAACATGCTTAGAGCTACAATTATAAGCGCAGCTCCCAAATACATTGTTAGAGGCGCTGAAATTTTGATATTTGATTCACTGATTTGTAAAAGAGGAAGTTCTTAAAACAAGTGATTTTGAGATCTTGAGTGTTGGATCTACTATCTACCAAACAGACAGCGCTCATGTTGACTGAAAATAATGGGTTTGGAGGTTCAAATTATATAATTAGAGATAAAAATAGATTTTTACACCAATTTTTGACACCAAAATTCATCTCATGACAAAATTTGGAAGTGCACCGTATTTTGATGGTTTGATGTTACAACCTTGTACAAACCACAACCTCTTTTGAGCTACAAAATTCATAATTAATAGAGGAAATTGATTTTAGAACTCTCATATTCATATATATATATATATATATATATATATATATATAT